GGTGGAGATCAGTTTTTGTTGAGATGGGCTGCAATATGGGATGGTTTTTTGGCGTTGCGGGATTGGGCTGAAGGCTAGTAGGAGGCCCATCACGATTTAGATGGTTGGTGGTAAATTGGGTAGGAATAGTGGGCTGGGGAAATGACCCAAATTCGTGTTGCCCAGAAATGTGGTTTAAGTTGTGATGAGGCCCAAAATCGGATAGGCCCAATACTAAACTGGCATTGTACGGCCCATACGCGTGACATGTGAGCTGAGGGAAATCGGAAACAGAAGCTCCATCTAGTTGTCCATGGAGATGAGAGCCAAAGTCAACGCCGCCATTGGATAGCACAGACCTCGGCGGATTTAGTGGTTTAGCCGGCGAAAACGGCGGATCTTGACGAAGATTCACCGGTAGAGAACCGATTTGAAAATCTGACAAAAATTCGCCTTGGGTGTTGTTCGAGGTTTGCAAGGCCGGAGCGATTAAATCCGGGATGACGACCTCTGCTTGCTGTTTCTTTGAGGAGAAGCTTGAGATAGCACCAACTTCAAACGATTCAGGAAATAATGCTTGAGGAGGCAATACCTTAGCTTCTTCGTTAAAATGATTGACATTTTTATTCGTGAATTCTGGTTCTGCGAAAAATTGTATGACAGCGGGTGAGTTTGAGATGGTAGATTGATGTTGTGAATTTGTTGAATTTGTTTCAGTAGCTGGTTGGTGTGCCAGCGCCGCAAGGGTCGGCGCCGGTGAGGAGGACGGTGACATGGCTAGGCGGCGGACGGAACAGATGTGGACGAAAGTAGAGAGAGAAATCTAGAGAGAAGGGAGAGCATTGTGCTGTCTTCTGTTGGTGCTAGGTTAGTAATCATTTGTTGCTAGGTTAATTGTCTGTTGGTGCTAGGTTAGTTGTCTGATTGTACTAGGTTAGTTTTCTGAACATGCTAGGTTAGTTGTATAATTGTGCTAGGTTAGTTGTTTGATTGTGCTAGATTAATAGTCTGATTGTGCTAGGTTAGTTGTCTGATTATGCTACGTTAGTGGTTGCTAGGTTAGTTGTCTGATGGTGCTAGGTTAGTTGTCTGATTCTGCTAGTTTAGTTGGTTGATGGTGCTAGGTTAGTTGTTTGTAGTTGCAACTACATGATGAAAATTTGCACTGTCACATAGCAAAACTTTGAAAGGCCATAACTTTGCGTAGGAAGCTCCGTTTTGGACGAATTTTTTTTTTTTATTTGGGGTAGCTCGACGAGATCTACGCAGCTGCAAACTGCCAAAGGCTATTTGGCCGCCCGAATTTAAAAAAAAAACGCCTTTTTCTTGCTTTAATTTCATTTTTAAGAAAAAAAATACGTTTTTTTGTATTTTTAAACCTCTATATCTCCCCAATCGAGACTCATTTTTCAAAGTTTTTTTTCATAACAATGCTCTCAACTTCTATTTTATGTATCAATTGGAAAAAATTAGAAAATGCATAGTCTCTGCAGTTGCTAGGTTAGTTGTCTGATGCTGCTAAGTTAGCTGTCTAATTGTGCTAGGTTAGTTGTCTGATTGTGCTAAGTTAGTGTCTGCATTTTAAGAGCTGACCTCATTTTAAGAGCTGACCTCATTTGATCCGCCCCATAGTCTTTGTGTGTGTGTATATATATATATGCAGCCCTCGTAGCCTCTGGCGATCATCCGACGACGACCGCTGAAGTTCCTAGAAGTCCAACGACCACCGGCGACCTTGGCGGCACCAGCCGCGCTCAGGCCCGTCCCATCCCGCACAGTGCATGCAAACCCTTCTCAGGCGCACGTGCACGTGACAGCTTCACGTTTGCGCTCCCAGTGCGCGTGCAGGAGACCCGCGCAACCCGCAAACTCCTCACTCAACCCACACGATATCCTAGCGCGCACACGTTGTTTCTGCAACCCAGCAAAGTGCATCTTGCACGCACTAATCTTTTTGAATGAAAAAATAATATCAACTTGACTGAATATTTTTAAAAGAATAATAACAATAATAATAACAATAATAATAATAATAATAATAATAATAATAATAATAAAAGTTGTGCCACCATACATAACGAGCTGGAATTTAACCACAATATGAGGCCATAAAAGTTGAAGAAATCCGATATGATCATATATCGGGACAAACAAACTCGATGAATTAATCCAAACACAACATAAACCCAAGTGTTCAGTTTCTTCATTTCATTCTTCACTAGCCAAGATTGAAACCAATAATCTGGCCATACAATTTCGATATCCAGGTCCGACAAACTTTCTCCAAATGTGCACATCAAAACAAACGCCAATCCGTTTTCTCTAAGAATACTAATGGAAGTAAGAAATTGGCTTAAGCACATACACACACACACACACAAAGAAAGAAAATTGCGATCCCAATTTCTAGTCATCATGCTACCAAAATGTTCCTTAAATTCACATGAAGCAAACACAGAATAGTAGATACTGCACAACTACTGTACCGATATGAAGAACTAATTTCCTTGAGCTCCCAGAAGACGGGCCAACAGGTCCCTGTGCTGCTGGTGGAAACAGTCCCCCCGTCGAATTCGAGCTACAGCGAACCAATAAAATATAAGTCGAAATAAATATACTGCAAAATGACTAATGTTGTCCAGGTAAAGTATAAAATAAATGTTGGTGGTCTTTTTCTCACCTTCCAGCAAATCTACAAGATCCATAACCTGCAAATGAACATGAACACCACACAAAAAGGGTGATTAAAAAAGCTAAGTATAGTTAAGGAGTGACGGGAAAAATATTATTCGTTTCAAAAGGTCATACTAGAAACAGAAACAGAAATCTAATAACATTTCCCTGGGCTCTTCAGTTCTCTTTATATATGATCACCATCATCATCATCATCATCATAATAATAATAATAATAATAATAATAATAATAATAATAATAATAATAATAATAATAATAACAATCATTTTAAATGATATGTTTTTAAGAAAAAATAAATAATATAAATAACTTACTAGGATCGTCATTAGTCAACATGGCCGTGCCGCCAAAGTCACATGTCCCGCCCGAGGCACGCATCCTCTGATAGTAATCATTATAAGCATATGACGCGTGATTCACCAAAGTATTGGGCTCATAGCAAGGCTGACCAGACTGGATCGCCCTACAATTCGTCTGCGCCTGCCCACAAGCCCAGTTAAGCCCATTCCGTAGAGCAACCTCGTCCGCATTCCCTCTCGCCACACAAAAACCCCCCGAAGAATTTGTGTTAAGACTAACCGAACTAGTCAGGCTGAAGTTGTACACACTGCTACCATTCGTGAATAGGATCCCCCAGTTCCTCTCCGAAATGGGTCCGGGCCTCTTGTCCTCGTTATACAGCTCGTAAATGTATGTATTGATTGGAAATCCGGGCTGGCTGGGTGGGCCCGTGTCATTCTCCACGACCCTTGTCACCAGATTTTTATTATAAGTCTCAGCATTTTGAGGGGTCGCGTCGGGCTCGTTGGTCTCACCGAGCGACGGCCAGCCCGTCTCGGTGACAACAATTGGAATTCGTGAGAAGTTCATGGCTGAGATGGCGTTGTAAGCGGCATCCACCAAGGCGTCAAACATGCTATCGTAGTGAAACAGCGTGTTCGGGTCAACAATCTGTTTGACAGAGGGAAGAGGCCGGAAGAGGGCGTATTCGAGCGGGAAAATGCCGCCACCCTTTACATACTCATAGTACGGGTACGCGTTCAGCATGAAGAAGGAGTTTGTGTTCTTGAGGAAGCGTAGAATTTGGAAAAGAGTGGAGTTGAATGTGGAGTTGAACTCGGCAGTCGAGGGGGGGAAAGGTCGGGGGATTATATCGATCGACTGTGGGGTGGAGACCCTGACCTGAGAGTTGAGATTAGAGGCAACAAGGGCTCGGTTGAGGTTGGCCATTGCAAGGACGAGGACGGGCCCTGCATTGGGGAGGGCAGTGAGGACCTCGCTGCCAACGGAAATGGCGGTGATGTTGGTGGAAGGGAGGTAGGCAGCAACATTATTTTTGACCCAAGCTGCTGCAGTGGGGGGGCGCTCGCCAATGCCGAGGAGCTCGTCGTTGGTCACACCCACCATGACCTCGATGCCCGTGCCGGAGAGGGCCGCCAGAAGGTGGGGGTCAGCATCAAAAAGCCGCACATGGGTTATCTCACGGGCTCTCAGGGTAGCCACTATGTCAGCGGCCGAGGGGGCGTTAGAGAGGTCGGTGCCGATGTTTATCCCCACATATGCACCTGCATTATTTCGGGGTTGCTGTAATTAATGAACGTTTTTTACTTTTTTTTTTTTAAATACTTGGTACTTTGTGAGAAGACGATCCTACGTAACATTGTGTTTTACGTTGTAGTTCACACCGAAGAGCAGTAAAACAAGAAAAGAAGGATTTGAAGAAATATTAAAGCACGAAAAGGCTTTGGGAATTTACCAAAAGCGTTGAAGACGAGTTCAGAAAGAAGCAGAATAGCTTGAAGCCATATGGAAAAGAACTTCAACTCAGTCATCAGCTACCACAAAGCTCACCCCAATCTTCAAACAGAACCTGCACTTATCCCTTCAACTGATATGGTCGGCCTTTAAAGTTAGCTGAAGTTGCAATTTTCACTGAAACAAATGTAAACATAACAAATATTAACAAATCAAGCTTAATTTAAGATTTATGCAGTTGGCCCTAAGGGGAGGTTTTAATTCGACTTGGAAAATGGAAAGAGTTTGGACCAACTACACATGCAATCGGCTACGTAATACAACATAAATAGTAAGTGACCGAGCACTTCCAAAAATGGAGATAGCGCCATTATCCATTTATATTTTGATCATGCTATTTTCAAAAAGAATAAAGAAACAACAAAAAACTAATATTTTTTAACTAGTCCCTTCAGGAGTACCCTCTGGATGAGTTGTTGTCATGGTAAGTTTTGGCCTCATCCAAGCGCCCATCATGAACATCCACAGCAAAGAAATGATATCAAATGCTCATACAAGAGTTACTATAAAGACAGAGAAAATTTGAAGGAAAGTTGAAAGAATGGATATTTCATAAGAAATTACCATCGAACATATTCGAGGAAACATTGTACGTGCCAAATGCTGAAAGGTCTATGGTCCAGTTTGCACACCCGGAAAGACCCAAACCATGAAAGTGGCTACCACACTGACATCCTTACAGAATGCAATGACAAAATCGCAGAGAACGTATTTGTAAACTTAGATAGATAACCCATTTGGAAATTCTTAAATGATTCCATGGATAAAACAGAACTACGAACAACTCAAATTCAAACCTCATTAAAGATAGTATTTTTAACAAATGTCTCATTTCTCAAACTACCTAATATTCTTATTAAAACCGTGGCGACAGAAACAGCGTAGATGTGGCTGAACATGATGGAAACCCTGCTATGCAAGTAAAGCCTAAAAGGGTCTGCGCCAATTACTAAAACAGGTAGATAGAAAAAGAAAGACACTTCAAGTGAGGGGTTGACATCACAAGTATATGCAAACTCGACCAAGTGTCAAAAAAAGGTACCAATTTTGCTTACAGATAGTGCACTCACAAAGGAAGCTCCTCTTAAAGGGCCTTCAAAACTAAATTAAATACACTAAGCCACAGGAAAAGACATAATTATCAGAAAAAATGTTCAAAACCTACTTAATCTGCCAATCCCATTCTTTGTTACGGCTCATTTCACCTCTACCACCGAATCAAGATCTTACAACACTGTCCAAGAACTAATTTTGAACAACCACAAGCAAAAGGGTTGAGAAAAGAGGGCAAGAGAGAGAAGTAATGACTTAAAAAACCCTTGTGCTCAAAATGGAAGGGCCAACTCAAAAAATCAATATTTTTTTTTTTTTTAGCTTCAAATACTAAACAGCAAACAAGTGGGTAAACACCAAAATCAACAAAATCACAACCAGGGCAAGCAAAACAAAGACAATAAAGTAAAGACAAAGAAAACACACACACACACACACACACACACACACACTTACCAACGCAGAGAGCGGGGCGGATGAAGTTTGCTTCACTTAGTTATGATTAAGGGTGTGATTTGAGCTGAAGCCAAAATGTGGGAGCTGAAGAGGAGAACAATGTGAAAAGGAGAGAGGAAAAAAGTTTGTATTTTTGGGGAAGAAGAAGAAGAAGGGAATGCAAAGCGGCAGGCGCGGGTTGGGGACTGAAGCGAGGAGATACTCTACAGACACACGATGGACTTTTTGCGATAATAAGGTAATAAATGCACACAGAGTCTCAAATAACCTTAGTTATGAGTGGAGTAATCAAGATTAGAGTCCCGCTCACCTGTCCACGGTGGGCAGTGCCCACTAGTTTGTTTTATATGAAAAACGTATTCTGAAAATACGTTTTTCAATTAAATTTATTTCATATAAAACAAACTAGTGGGCACTGCCCACCGTGGGCATGAGAATATATTTAATCAAGATTATTGTTGTTAAGTCATATATGAATGAGGCCCTAAACCCTGAGTTAATTTTCATATTAACTTTGTAACGAAAGTGGTTAACTATGGTGAGTGGGATACAGGTGGATGCAAGGGAATAAGGTTAACTGTGCTAAAATATGAGTTGTTATTCTTTTTTTCAGTGGGGGCCCATTTGTCTTTTGTCTTGCATTTTTAAAGTAGCGATTTCATCAGTTTTCAGACATAAAAGCAGCAGCGTCAAATGTCCTTTTTCTTACCCTTCATTCAAAACTTTAATAAAGAGCCTACGACTTTAGGACACACTGGATCAGCAATGAGATGCAAAATTTTACCTCAAATTATTTTACATATTACATACTCCCTCCATTTTATTATGAAAAGTCGTTCTGTACTTCTGCAAATATTATCCTTATTTAATGACAGTTAACATTAATTAATTATTTTAATTTAAGCTTTGTTATATTTTTTTAAGGGAGAAAAACTTTTCATCTTTTTCATCTTCCTTCACAAAATACAGCTTTATAAAATACACAGCATCACCAAAATTTTTGGTTTGGAGCCAAAATTTTGACAAGGAGGTAAATCAAAATTCACATTCAACATTTCAAAGTTTATGAAGCAACACCTACAAATGTTTGTAAATATGGATGATTTAGTTAAACCTCATATCATAAATAAAGATTTCCAACGACTTCAAACATTCCGATCGATTTGAACGAAACTCCTTACGACGTAGAAGATGCAGTCCCGAGATCTTCACACATTATAATTGACCTGAATGTCGACGATAGTCCGGAAATTGGATACCCTGTTATCGAGCTCGACTTAAATCAACTTTATGAAGATGATGACGAAGCTACGTCCGATTCTTTTGTGGAAGAGGATATTGGCCAACAAGCTAATGGTGGAGAAGGTTATAGAGACATAAAAGGGGTACTTCAAGGGCACGTAAATGGTGAAGCAAGAGAAACAAGACAAGGTGAGTTATTTTACAAAAGATATAAAATCTTAAAAAAATGTTCTTTCATACATAGCTATATGTGTTGCCTGTATGTATAGAGTGAGAGAAATGTTCTTTTGTTTTTTTAGTTTATCTTGAAGGGTACTGGACGAGATTTGCTAATTAGTTTTAAATTTCTTGATTAATTTTCTGCAATCTTCTAGATTTCCATCTTTTAGCAGTTAATTAATGTTGTTTTAATTTTATTCAGTAGTTCTTGATGTGATGACTCTTTTTTGACCAATGTGGAAATTATTAGATGCCAAACATATAAATTCTTCACCACTGTTTGTGAATAACCTCAGATTCTTCACCACTATTTAGGTAATGTCTTGCTTCAGGATTTCACCTTTTTTTTTCTTCACTTTGACATGTGAATTGAATATATATATATATATATATAGGGGGCAGATCAAATGAGGTCAGCTCTTAAAATGAGGTCAGCTCTTAAAATGCGGACAGCTCTTAGCAACTACAGACAACTAACCTAGCAACTACAGACAACTAACCTAGCAACTACATAGAACTAACCTAGCTACTACTAACCTAGCAAGTACAGAGAACTAACCTAGCAACTACTAACTTAGCAACTACATAGAACTAACTTAGCAACTACAGAGAACTAACCCAGCAACTAACAGAGAACTAACCTAGCAACTACAGAGAATTAACCTAGCAACTACTAACCCAGCAACTACAGAGAACTAACCTAGCAACTACAGACTTTGTATTATTTTCTTCTTCTTTTCCTTTTTCTGTTTTTGTTTTCTTTTTTTCTGTAAGACTATGTTGACTGTAGCTGTTTGATATTTGGGCCCGTTTTGGGGTCTTGATCTATGTACAGGTTGGGGATCCAGCCCAATCCCTCGCCCTCAGGGCGTTGTTTGAGAAAAAAAAACCTAGCAACTTCAGAAAACTAACCTAGCAACTATAGAGAACTAACCTAGCAACTATATAGAACTAACATAGCAACTACAGAGAACTAACCTAGCAACTTCAGACAACTAACCTAGCAACTACAGAGAACTAACCTAGCAACAACATAGAACTAACGTAACAACTACAGAGAACTAACCTAGCAACTTCAGACAACTAAACCCTACCCTCTTCCTCCCTTATCCCCGCCGTCTTCCCCCTCCGAGTAGCCGCCTCCGTCGGTCACCCCGCCGGCGGCCCCACTGGCCGTCGGGCCTGTACTTTTTTTTTTATCGTTT